CTTTTTTTCCCCAAAGAGTTCATAGCTCATAGGTATTTGTTATTTCAAATAACATTTTGTCAACTTGTCTTCCTTTTCCAAAAAAAAACAAAAATAATTCCTTATGCTTTTGTAGTGTTGTATTTATACTTTTCTAATATTTGAGTTGCTAGCAAGTACCATCTTTCTGACATTCTCCTCAATGTGTTTTTATGTACTAGGTTCTTTTAAGTCCACCTGAAGTCTTGTAGGGGCTGGGGAGGTAGTGCACTTATCAAGCCTGTGTGAGGCAATCCCTGCTTTCAATCCCCAGCACTGCAATTAAAAAAAAAAAGGAACTTTTCATCATACAGACTATATCCATTTCTGCTTTATTCCCAGAATATAAACAGTTCCTGATACATCGTAAGCATTTGATCTGTTGTACAGATGTCATTTTTCATCTAAGTCATAGGTCAAGTAATTTCATAATGGTAAAGGTGTGGGAAAAACTGGTTACCTTGTAGAAGGTTAAAAGCTTTCTGGCCAAATAGAGACTGCCCATCCAGGTTAGCCTCCGGGACAGCAAAGATCTTGAAGCATTCATATGCAAACCAGCTAATCTCTGGTCTACAGGGCTGCCTTCTACCTAATCTAATACTGTACATACAAACCAATAGCTTTACCTAAGGCCTAGTTCTAAGACTCCCCTCCAAGGGTACCAAAATCCTCAAATGCTCAAACCCTTATGTAAAATGCCATAATGTTTGCCTATGTCCTGTACATACTTTTAAATTATACTATACAATGTGAATATTATGTAAACAATGGTTACACTGTATTCTTTAGGGAAAAATGACAAGTATATATGTTCAGTACAGATTGTTTTCTGAATATTTTTCATCTGTGGTTGGTTGGATCTGCAGATGCATATCCTACAGGTACACATGGCCAGCTGTGTCATTTGTCCTAAATTATGCCACAGCCAAGTACCAGGTAAATAAAGCCCAGCCCATTGCCCAAAGCCTGCCAAAACTATTCAAACTAGGCAATCCTAAACTATTCACTCTTCAGTGCCCAAATTTCTCTCAGACCCTTCAGGGCTCAGGCTAGACTCCCCTCCTTGACATCTACCATCTTGCCTTCTGTCACCTGATAAAAACCTGGTGCTTACCCTGTGGCCCCGTGTGGCATGTCCTGACCTCTTGTCTGCAACCTGGGAATATAGTAAGTTTCCAAGCCTTATTTTTACTTCCTCTCTTGGACTTTGCCATATCATATCCAACATTTACATTCTTTTTTTTAATTTTAAGGTTTTATTGTATTGCACTAAAGGTACAGCAAGGTGGTTATAGAGTTACTCTCTTCAGTTTTGAAAATCCACTTGCAAATCCTTAATCCTTTTACCACCAGATTATAATGGTAAGGACATATAACTAGATTCTTACAAATAATAATATTTAAAGTAACTTTAAATGCATTCTTCACAAATCAGCATATACTTTTATATCATGTTCACGTGTGCTTAAGAATTAAAGCAACTGAGGGGAGGGGATTTAGCTCAGCGTTTCAGTGGCCTGACTTGCAAGCGCAAGGACCCGAGTTCAATCCCCGGCACCAAAAAAATAAAAAAAAAAAAAAAAAAGAATTAAAGCAAGTGGGCTGGGATGTAACTGAGTGGTACCATGCCTGCATAAGAAATGCAAGGTCCAGATTTTGATCTCAAGAAAAAAAAACAAAAAACAAAACAGAATTAAAGCAAGTACATTACTCTGATGGAAATGGGAAATCTCTCAATCAGGCATTATGCAGGGATAACATTCAAGTCAAAGGAGGAAATCTTACTCATTTTTGTAAGTGTATACTGATAAAATCATCTGTATGATAAATGAGGAAACCTATTGTTTCCTAGAAATGAGATACACATTTTCACTTCATCAGAAGTACTTGGTTATCTACAGCTAATTACTGGTAAGATGGTATTTCAGTAAATCAAAATGAACCGTACAGCTTCCCATAAAAGCTTCCCATGGACTAAGGACAGTCGGTAAATAGTGGCTTATGGGAAGGATTGTGGTTGTTCCTTCAGGAGTGCAAGTTCCACCTGTCAATACTAGAGATAGCCATTTTATATTAATTTATACATAATTCCAATTGCATTCTTCATCCAAGTGTAACATAGGAAAACTACCTTTCCACAAGCAAAAAATGTAGAAAAATAAGAGTCATTTTTAAAGGAATTCATCAGATCCCATAGAGTGCTCCTAGGAACAGGACCTTGCTGGATGGAGTCCTTTTCTGTGGTGGCCTCTGTACGTGATTAACCAGATAATTGTGTATGCTGTTCTAAGAGCTCAGCCAAACATAGATCATGCCATACAGGTAGTAAAAAAAATGGGAAGAGGTAAAAGGCTAGTTGGCACCACGCTTCCTGACAATATGCTAGGAAGTCTGTGTTCATGCTGGTTGTGAGGTCGTAGAGTCCTGGTATGCTATCACCAGTCTACTCATGTACGACCGGACATGGTATGCCAAGAGGGGCATACTGAGACCCACTGTGAGCTACGCTACAGCACGAAGAAAAATGACAGAAGAGAGCATGGACGAGGCACTCGGGGAGGACCCGAGGATTCCAGGTATTACACTGGTCTGTAGGATTCTTGGAATCAGTCTTCAGCTCATGAGATACTGTGATGTGCTGGATGGCAAAGAAGATGAGCCCGGAAGTAGGCAGGAGCACCAGCGTGTAGCAGAAGGCCAGGAATGTGAATTCAGAAGCTGCTTCATGAATATATATGAAAGAATATTATCAATCCACATAATCTTAAAGGGCATTAATAAATATTTTTAATTAAAAAGTTTGCATAGATTGAATTCTTGGGCTACAATACTTACATAGTATATTATTGGAATGTAATACTCCTCTTTGGGGATGGCTTGAGACAGGGGCTCACCATGTGGTTCAGGCTGGCAGGCATGGGAGTGCAGTGCATGAAGCCGTGAGCCTGAATCCACGCAGCAGTGGACGCCCTAGGAAGTCAGAGATGCCGAGAATAGAAATCACTGGCTGAGCAAAATGGCAAGCAGTGACCTAGTCACCTGAGAGGGACATCATAGCAACCACCCGCAATGCCCAGGGAACAGGGCCACCGAAGTCATGTGGCATTCACATCACTACCTCCAGTGCTGGACATGAACCTACAGGACTTCACGTTTACCTTGCTGGAATTTGGTTATGCTTTGGTCCCTGTGTCTTCTAACTCCCCACTTCCATTGCCCCCTTTGGGGATGGCAGTGTTTACATTTGCCAGTGTGTATTGGAAGTGTTTACCTTCTGTTCTCTCCTTTCTACAAGGGCTAAGGGATACAGGTTTTCCTTAAGGCTCAGAGGATACTTTGGACTTGAACTTTTCAGAAATGCTGGTCATGTTAAGACTGCCAGCACCTAGACATGGAATAAATACATTTTGTGTAAAGACATGCACATGAGTCTTGGGGCCTGTGGTCAAGCTGTTATGGTTCAGATCTGGGATGTCCCCCAACAGCTTCATGTGCTCTCAGGAGGGGCTCATGGAAGACGGGGCCAGGCCAGCAGGACGTAGGTCAGGGGGACGTCACCTGTAAAGACTGACAGGCTTCAATGGAAAAATGAGAACTCTCAAATTCTGCTTGAAACAACCACTTCAAAAGGCAGCTTAACAGTTTTGAAGTTCAGCATGTACCAGCTCTGTGACCCAGCAATTTCACACTGAGGTATTTTCCCCATATCCATGCAAACATCAGTACAGGAATGGTCATAGCAGCTTTGTGTTTCACGGTCAAAACTGGAAAGCACACATACAGCCCTCAGCACATGGGCACGTGAACCATCTGTGGTTCATGCGCAACATGGCATGAGATGGATGAGCCTCTGACAAGGAACAGCACACACGAACACAAACATGGTTATACTGACTGAATAAACTGTACCGAAAAATAAAACCAAGTAAAACCAAGACAACACTAAATGCTGCAAGCTGTCAACCCGGGATAGGAGGCACATGGGCTGCTTGGGATGAGAGGATAGCAGGCCATTGAAGTGGCCACAAGGAAAGTATCAAAGTGATGTAGGTGTGTATGGGTCCATCATCACTACTGGGATGATGCCTTCTATGACCTACAAAGACTACTGCCCTACAGTCTGCAGCCCATGCCACCTCACTTGATATTCCAGTACTGAATACTACACTTTCCCATGGAGTTTAATAGCTAAGTAGGAATAATTAATCATTTCTATGCTTCAAAAACCTACAACCTACCATGGACCACCCACCACAACCTAAGATGTTATGATCTGAAACCAACATTTCTATCCCTGAAGCAAAACTGTTGTGCAAATTTTTGGACAGTCTCCACACTGCCCATTTCAATGACAATGATATGATCAAGCCAGATAACAGAAGCATCCTGACATTCCCCAGCTTTCTACATGTGAATGCCAGCACCTCACATTCAGAAAACACATGGAAAAGACCCTTTAGTACTGGGCCTGCTACATACAAAGTCTCTCTGTATATATGGTGCCTTAGAAGTGAAAATGGCACCAGGGCCTCAAATCAGAGAAACTTGTTTAGTTTTTCTTTTGCTGTTTCCCAGTAGCACTCTGAATCAGGCAGTAATTCCAGCATTCTGGGGGTCTGAGGCAGGAAAATCAAAATATGGAGCCCATCATGCTCAATTAAGGTTTGTCTCCTTTTTCTTTCTTTTCTTTCCTGAGCCAGTATCTCTCATCTGTCACCTCAAACTCATGGTGAACTTCCTGCCTCAGCCTCCCCAGTGTGGAGATCCCAGGCGTGTGCCACCAAACCTGGTAACAGGCTCCATTAAATGATTTAGTGAGACAGTGAGTGTCTGAAAAAAAGATAGACTGGGATGTAATAGAATTCAGCATGAGCACAGTGGGCTCAATGCTCAGTACTGCAAATGTACATCCTAGATAGACACATGCCTAGATAAAAACAGTAATAGTACTAAGGGAAGGGCCACTGATTTATTTCACTATGAACATGAACATGGGCCACTGGGTCTTCTCCTCAGAGGAAGTGCTCTGGTTGTAGACACAAGACATGACCTTGTTTCCTAGGCAACCTGTCCAAAAAGAACTTGGAATCCTCATGAACACGAGTCACAATAGAGTGACGGATACGTCCTGAGCTCACTTGTTTAGAGACGGTGAACAGCAAATATGCTGAGCTGCTTCTCAACTTTTCAAGGCAAGAGCCAGAGGACTTCAGGCAGAGAAAGTTTCTTTCAAAGATGGAGAAAATGGTAAACTCTCCCCAGGCATGTAAGGCTACACTGCAAGAGCCGCTCAACGAAAACCCAGGCCAGATCTCCCCAGCTGTGACCACCATGAGCCATGAGCCACCAAGGAGCCTGGGCTCACCTGCCCTAAATAGGAAGGTTCCAGAAAGCCCAGGAAATGTCACCGCAGGCCCTGGCATGAAGTACCCTGAGACACTAAAGGGTCAAGGGGTCTCCTCAGACCCAGCTTCTAAGCACCAAAGGGCTCCAAGGGACCTAGGGAAGATGTGCCAGGGATCTGCCACCAGGTACCAAAATCCAGCAAAGATCCCAGGACAGGTCTCCTCAGGCCTGAACGCCAGTCACAGGGAAACACTGGGGAACCCGAGAAAAGTCTCCTTAGGCCCAATTCATCAGGACACAAAGACACCAAGGAGACCAAGGCAGGTCTCTCAAGGCCCAGCCACCCAGTCCTCAGAGATACCACCTAGCACTGGGCAGGTGTGCCCACACCTGACAACCAGAAGCCCAGAAACTGCAAGAGGCCCCAAGTGTGACACTGAGGGCCCAGGCAAAAATAGCCCAGAGTCACTGAGGAGAGTGGGGGAAGGTTACCCATGGAAGGTCTTCCCTATCATAGTCAAATCAGATCCACAAATAACTGGGAGCCTACCTAAAGACTGGGAGATCTTGCCAAAGAAGATCTTCCCTGGCACAGCCATGGGTCACCTACAAATACCTAGAGGCCCAGGAGAGGTCTTCCCAGAGGAGATTTTCCCGAGCCTGGCCATGAAGAACCCAGAAAGACACAGGAGCCCAGGAGAGGTCTTCCCAGAGGAGATTTTCCCGAGCCTGGCCATGAGGAACCCAGAAAGACACAGGAGCCCAGGAGAGGTCTTCCCAGAGGAGATTTTCCCGAGCCTGGCCATGAGGAACCCAGAAAGACACAGGAGCCCAGGAGAGGTCTTCCCAGAGGAGATTTTCCCGAGCCTGGCCATGAGGAACCCAGAAAGACCCAGGAGCCCAGGAGAGGTCTTCCCAGAGGAGATTTTCCCGAGCCTGGCCATGAGAAATCCAGAAAGACCCAGGAGCCCAGGCGAGGTCTTCCCAGAGGAGATTTTCCTGAGCCTGGCCATGAGAAATGCCTAGATCACAGGTGGGTGCCATTGTGGTAAAACATTCTATTAAGATCAAAAATGAGGTTCTCTTGATTACAACTAATTCTCCTGGCTTTTTTTTTTTTAAGATTTGAGAAGTATTTTGCCTGCCATTTTAAAGTCCTGTTTAGCCTATTTCCTAAAATGAGTTTGCCCCATAGAATATTTCTGACTGAAAAATGGTGGTGTGATGTAACAACTTTCACTATGCAGGTCAGAAGCCAAAGGGTTGACTCCATTACAGAAAGTTAATCCACCACTGACTAGGTTTCTTTAAGAGAAAAATGTCTCAGATACAAAGGGAATGATATACAATATGTTTGCTACCCTCCCTTCATCTTAAACTATGTTAAAGCCAGGATTTAGCTCAGTGGTGCCCCTGCCTGTCTCGCAAGCCCAAGAACCTGAGTTTGATCCCAGAAAACCATGTTGAATAATTAAAGTGAATGGTATGAGAAACTGAGCTTAGTGAAGTAAGTACAGATGACAAATGGGAACCCTTCTATTTGGCATAATCGGCTGCCTGTATGCTATTCCTGAAGTTAGCTTCTTTTTCTCTTTTTGCTTGTTTTGGTTTGGTGTTTTGAGAGGTTTTGCTATGTAGCGCAGGCAAGTCCTGGCTGGCCTCAAACCCATGTCAATACTCCTGCTCCAGCCTGAGTGCTGTGATTATAGTCACGTGCCCTCACACCTGACCTTGTGAATTTTTTTAAACAAAAGTGGTTTGTATATATTGAATACTCTTATTGGTTTTTTAATTTTAATTTTTCTTTTCCCATACTAGGGTTCTAACTCAGGACCTCGCATTTGCCAGGGAGGCATGCCACCACTGAGCCCACCCCTTATTGCTTCTGAAATAACTTATCCTTGCAGTTTTTCTACTGTCACATTTTCTGTAATGTTATCTTCTATCATTTTCTTGCTTTATAATGTTGGCTACAATGACTTCCCTTTAAATTACATTGGAATGATGAAAAGGGGTTGAAGATAAGTGGGTATAGGAAGGAGAGACTCTGTCACAAATGCTTTTACTTTTTGAGTACAATAAACATCAGCATCAAACATCCTTGAAATTATAAATTTTGAATACTGTATATACCTTTTTCTCTAGAATGGGATTAGTAAATTCTCTGAGATTCTTTAACAAGATACATGTACAAAAGCAAAAATCTAGAGTCAACTGAAAATGATGGAAAAGAGGTATAACAATTTCAATCTCTAATGTATATGTAGACAAGCTAATGGCTCACTCAGATTCTATTTTATCCTCTTGGGATCCCTAGTAACACTTATCATTTGAATTTAAAAGGGTACACAATAATTTGGGTGCTTTGAGCTCTTTCAACTACAGGCACAAAGATCCAAAGTATTAACATCGGGTTGGGGATCTAGCTCAGTGGTTCAGCGCCTGCCTCACAAGTACAAGGACCCGAGTTTGATCTCTGGGACCAAAATATAATTAAATTAACATCTAAATCTTACAAATAGAAATCTTGCAAATGACATTTTTATTGAACAGCTGACCAAAAAAATGCTAATTGGAAAATGGAGACAAGGGAAAATTCTTGTCAAATTGGTTTAAACACTAGTAGTTTTGTCACTGAATGAGCAAAGTTTGTTTTGTTTTTGTTTTTTTAATATACATTTAGCGTAACTACTAAATATTTAAAAGTCAGGAAACCTTGGTTGAAGAACCAGTTGTAGTTATAACTAACCACATACAAATCACTTACAAAGGTATAAAGTAACAGTTAACACCTATGCCCTAATTCACAAATACATCACAAAACCAAAATTCTTCCCCAACCCCTGCGTGGTGGCGCATACCAGTAAATCCAGCACTGAGGAGGCTTAGGCAGGAGGATCGCTGAGAGTTTGAGAGCAGCCTGGGCTACATAGTGAGTTCCAGGTCAGTCTCAACTACCTAGTGAGTCCCTGTCTCAAAAAACAAACAAACAAACAAACAAAATTCTTCCCCAAGAAAATGTCACTATGAACCAAAATATTATTAATATTTAGCCTGGGCTTTCCCTCAAAGGTTAAGAATGAAAAACTGAAGACTTTGTCTTTTACACATCAGCTGTACAACTTAATTGTACAGATAGATAGTCTGGTTAAGATAAACGTTTTCCTTCTCCAAACTGTGGTGAACAGGTACAGAAGCCAGTCTCAAAGGAATCCCAAAGACCCTCCGAGAGTTAGTCCACCCTGGGGATCAGGGAAGCCAAAAGGAGCTCCTGCATCTGCCAAAGTGACCAAAAGTTGAACAATTTGCAAATGCAATGGTTTCCTAACATTTTCTACATTCACAGCAAGATGAGGGGAAGCTCATGCACAGCATAAACTGGAAGCTGGAGGCCGCAGAGACAGTGCCATATCTTTTTTCTGCTTGGCTTGAGAACTTCTGAGGGGGCAGAGGATGGGTGTGTGTGCAATGGACAACACAAACTCACTGACCTGGACACGGACACAGTTGGAGAACCACATGGGGTGTTCCAGGCCAGCAGAGTGATGGTCACAGACAGTTGCGGTGCTTGAGTGGCAGCTCCACAGAGAGCTGTACTTAGGACAAAGTCCACAAACATGGAGCCAGAAGACTGAACTTAAGAGCAGTCAGAAGTTTCGTCTTTTATGTGGTGGAGAGTTTCATACAAAAACATGTTAATCCTATGGTGATAAAAATGTTTTTCTTTATGGTAAGAAAATCTTTTTGTAGAAAACATTTTTTGTAAGTTTCTCAAAAGAGGTTCTGAAGAGAAGTTTGCCACCCAGACCATAGGGTGATCACACCACAGAATTACCACACAAGTTATCACACAGGTTGTATGGCTACCACATGGGTCATAAGCTAGTTTAGACTCAGAGAGGTAAGTTTGAAAACAGACGGAAGTGTAAGGTGGCTTCTACCACGCTCACGTCATAAATTTAAACAACAAAATGCTGGGCTAGGGATCTAGAACAGAGGTATAGTGCATCTCTAGTATACAACCCTACGGATTGATCTCCACTACCACGAAAGCACAGAGAACATAAAGCTATCAAGAAATTGAATGGGCCAGCCTAGTAGTGCATCTATAATCCCAGAACTATGAGAGGCTCAGGCATGAGGATTGCCAAGTCTAAGTCCCCCGTGGGCAATTTAGGGAGATCTCACCTCTGAGCAATAAGAACTTAATGATGTTGAAAAAGTTGGCCACAATGTAACACGAGTGAGGAATAGCTTTCTAAGTTATCAGCAGTGCTTGTAACATCCCTGATATCAAATGAAACAAAATTAGGTTTAGGCCACTAAAGCACATTCACTTTTGATTTTGGTTTTTGGTGCCAGGGATCGAACTCAGGACCTTACGCTTCAAAGGCAAGTACATGAGCTAAATCCCCGGCCCCACATTCACCTTTTTGAAGAAACACGTACTACTAGGGCAAGTATTTTATTTTAAAAGTAAGGAAACATTACTTTTTGTTTCTCACCCTTTTGGTTTCCCTTTTTCTATTTCCATTTTATGATATTTCACTCAAATATTCAGTTCCCCATCTCAGACTACTGTCCTCTGCCAGGGTGTAAGAAATGTTAGGATTCCTTCACTACAGAATAAACATTGCAGAAGAATTAGCATGTTATAAACAAAGGCAAAGGAAAATAATTCTAACTGGGCATGACAAAATGTATAGAACATAAGTATGTGGTTACTTATCACTTATATGTCTCATGACATATAAGTTATATAATAAACTCTCAAGAGGTAAACACATCATTTTCATGTAATTTAAAAATGTCACTTTTGTCACCTTTATCTATTTCTAGACTTTCCCCTACATTATAGTAAAAGACAAACAAAACCTAGAAAAACACAACTTATCTAGCTCACACACATGGTATATAAATATCATAGTAGTCATTTATACGACTCCTTGAAAAATATTTTAAAGGAAACATATTTTTGCTACTGTCTCCATCATTTTTAAGTTATGTTCTTTAACTTTCAGCTTTAGTACAAAAATATTTTCAATCTGGCAATCAAGAACATTTAGTGACTTTTAAAAATTTCAGAAAACTTTAGTCCTACACAAAACATTTATATAAAGCTTAAAGTTATAAAGCTGGGATCTGGTTTTATAGTTGAGGGATACTATAATCAACTATTGATATCAATAAAATGATGTTTTTAGATTATCTTATTTTCAAAACCAGAATTACCTAATAAAACTGACCCAGAGTCCAGCTCACTGAACTCATCTAAGTCCCATTCAGTACCAGATTAACTCGGTACACCATCTACTTCAGTAAGAAAACTTTGCCAAGGGCTGGGATTTAGCTCAGTGGTGCCATTGCCTGCCTTACAAGTGCAAGGACCCAAGTTTGATCCCAGGTACCAAAAAAAAAAAAAAAAAAAGAAAGAGAGAGAGAGACAGAGAAAACTTTGACCACATTCAAGGCAAGAAGGATAAATATGAGCTGAGAGGCAAACAAAGTTAGTCAAATAACAAGCCTAATGTGGGATTATAGGCATGCACCACTACACTCAGCACAAGAATTTATTTTTAAATGACTAAAACTTCACTTGAAAGAGCACAACATAACACTCCTAAAGTCTTGTAAGTTTTATCATATATTTACAGAAAAATATTACATACTTCAGTTAGTATTGCTGAGATAATTCAGTTAGTATTGGTGATAGAATGGCCATAATTTTTAAGATCTAATAAAGACTATTTTATTAGTCCTCTATAAAATATCTGAACAGAAACAGTCTTGTCATTAGGTTTGTGACAATTTAGGGAGGAAGCACTTTCAACTTGATTTTTTTCAAGAACTATCACATAGAAGAAAAAGGGAGGTGGAGCAGGGATTTAGCTCAGTGGCCCTGTGCCCATCTCACAAAGTACAAGGTTCTGAGTAGAAAAACAGAAAAGAAGGTAGGAAAGCAGGAAGGCAAGAGGGGGGGAGAAGGAAGGTGGAGAGGGAGAGGGAGGGAGGGGAGAGGGAAAGGCGGAGTCGGGGGAGGGAGGCAAGGAGGAAGGGAGAAGGTTGGGGAAGGGAGAAGGTTATATAAAATTATAAATAGTTAGTTTTTTTATATTAGAGCCAGCAGTTCAGCCATAACAGCTTTCTTCAAATCTGGACAACAGTTATGAAAATGACAAAATGGCAAGACAAAGTAAGAATATATCTCTAAAAGGGAAATCTAACAGGGTTGGAATTCTTGCAAGAGATTATTAAGTTAAAAAATGGATTCTGACAGGTAAGTGAAAATAACTAAGGATTTATAGAATTTCTAAAAACTTATCTTAAGAGAAACTGACAACTATATCTTCTAAGTACTTGGTAGTGATGGATTCCATTTCAGCATATGAAGAAAACTAGTGCTTTCTACTTATAATGGGAAGACAAGTAAAGCAACGAGAATGCTGCTGGAGCAGTATTATAGAGAAATTACAGCAATACTTACCCTTCCCATCTTTGTTTTTCTTCTTCAAAGATATACTTGGAATCTGGTCGTGGGGGCTTACTTTTTCTCCCTGAAATTAGAATAGCTTTGCATAAATATTTGCTCGCACAAGTGAGAGAACAGAGAATTGAGCTATTTTGTCGTTTATCCAAAACTTTACATCCCAAATGCTTTGTATATCGGTCATTTAACTGATCTCTAAAAATGTTTACTAAAAGAAAAATAACTTCAGTAAAAACTGAAATTAACGTAAAACTTAACGTAGATTAGATCATAAAGAAATAATACTCTAAGCCACAAGCAGTGATGCATATTTATAGTCCCAAATAGGACGATAAGGCAAGAAGATTGCAAGTTCAAGGCGAGTCCTCCAAATTTAAAAAAAAAAAAAAGTTTTTAAAGCAGTGACAAAATCTCAAAAAGTACAAGTGAAGAGTGAGGGAGAAACTAGCTCTGCAAAGGGAGCTTCGGCCAAGTCAAAGATGAAAAAACAACATAAAAGTATACTTTCATAGATATTGGTTGGGCTATCATGAGAAAAGCACAAAGGCCCCAAACAAAATTTTTTAAAAGGACTGTGACGTGTGGCCCAGTGGTAGAGTACTTGTCTAGCTTGTGCAAGGCCTTAGATTCATCCCTGATACTGCTTTAAAAAAATAAAAAAGTAAAAAAATAAAAAGATACTTTATTTGTAAAAATCAAGTTGCATTTCAAATACTGTATCTCCTCTTTAAGGTAATCATATTGATAGTGCTTTCTTAAACTTTTGGAGAGTATTCTTGATATTGATAAAACTTTTGAGCTTAAATCATTAGCCATATAGGTTTATTTGCTGGCTATGTAAGGTTTTTAAGGCAGAAGTTACATTTTCTTGCATATAGTTAGTTCTGAAATATTAGAAACTTTTCCAAACTACAAATATAGAAAATATGTATTGCAAAATGTTGATGACCCATATAATGAATTTCGGGGAGGGGATCTTTCTTTTTAGGACATAACTCCTTGCTACGTAGTTCAGGCTGGTCTTGAACTCATTACGTAGCCCAACCTGGCCTACCACACATGGAGATCATCCTGCCTTGGCCTCTCAAATGCTGGGATTACAGGTTATGAGCCAATGTGCCTCGTGTATCTTGTGTTTTAAATCTCATTTTTCTCTATTTAAATTTACAGCAAACCAGCTTCATGGTTATGAATTATCACCCTCTAAATGAATTTATCCCAATGGCTTTAATCTAGGTTGATCAAATGTTGTACAGCTTTTTTGCGATCTTCTTTTGCTACTTACCTAGAACCATACTTTGGTAGCACTGTTTTCTGTAGTTGAGATGATCATGCTGTTGGAGCAGCCTACCATTCTGCATACAGTTACTACCTCCGTCCTCCACAGTCCTTGGTGTTGATGATTTCTGGTGAGATTATGGGTGAAGTTTTAGTTATTATAAAGCAATCATACAGGTCTGGGGATTTAGCTCAGTGGTTCCACTGCCTGCCTTGCAAGCACAAGGACCCAAGTTTGATTCCCAGTACCTAAATAAATAAATAAAAAGCAATCATACAAAAGCAAAATTGTAGAGCTAAAAATGACAAGGTTCATAACAACCTATTCCCAGAAACTGAGTAGGAAAATGGTTTCGAGTTATTTGGGTGGATGAGAGTAGGGGAAAAGATGGTCAAAACCCTACTAGAAATCTTCAAAGACTGCCAAATGTACTCCTGAGTGTGGTAGGTAGCACATGCTTGTAACTCCAGCATTCCAGAGGCTGAGGCAAGAGGAACACTGCAAATTCAAGGTCAACCTGGGCTATGTAGTGAATTCAAAGCCATAGTTAAATACATAGCAAGACCTTATCATCAATCAATCAACAGACTGCTAAATGTATGGTAATCAGCTAGGTAAAACTTTCTCCTCACCACAGACATCTCCAAAGAACTCATTTATGAAGCAGATTCTCCTGGCTGAGTGTCTTCATGATAACAATTATTAGAGGTCAGCACAGGAGTTACCTCCTATCATCTCATTTTCAGTAACCTATGTACTTGCTTTTTCTTTTTTCCCATTGCCTTCCTCCAACTACTTTTACTCATGTCAAGACACTGCTGGTAGCCTATCCAAAATCCATCCTTTCCATCACTTTCTTTACTATTCAAGGTAGCAATGTACACAGCTTTGCATGAATTATAGTTTCTTGGGTGGAACATTTTTGATTGACTGTTATTTTTTTTCCCCAGTACCAGGGACCACTGAGCTACATGCCTGGCTCTCACTGAATGTTATTTCTTTGTATCAGTTTGAATGTATCTAATCCCTCCCAACTCTAATGGGTACTTCTAAGCTGCCAATCTAAAAATCAATGTTTTTAGGGCCAGGGATGTATAGCTCAGTTGTGCCTCACCTGCCTGGCATTTGCAAGGGCCTGAGTTTGATCCCTGGTACCACCAAAACAAACAAAAAACAAAAAGCAAAAAAAGAAAGAAAAAACATATGATCAATGTTCTTTAAGTAATGGCATTTCTCTCTAGTTTGTTTCTTTCTTCTTTTTAGGGGTACTTCGGAAGAGATTTTTGGGTATCTTTGGGTATTCTGCATTTTTACTATCAATTCCTGGATTTATATACCTAGATGTATTGTAGTTAACACTATTCAAGATCCACAATGCTCAAGATTAATGTTGTTCTGGAAAATCCACAGTCACTGTCTTTGAATATTACTTCTTCCTTACTTTTCTGGAGCAAGACTATTAGGATCAAACCCAGGCTCTTGAGCATGCTAAGCAAGCACTTCACCACTGAGCTACATCCCTAACCCTGGCTTCTTTCTTTAACCTATGTTGAGATACATCCTTTTTTCGTTCTTTTTTTTGGTACTAGGGATCAAACTCGGGTCCTTGCACTTGCGAGGCAGGCAGTGGCACCACTGAGCTAAATCCCTGGCCTTTTGTTGTATTTGTTAACACTGTGTGCCATTTTACTGCTAACCAATTTCTTCGATCAGCAGTTGTTGTACATTTGGGTGGTTTCCAGTTTGGGGCAACTGCAAATAGGGCTGGCAAGAATATTCGTGTGTAAGTTTGTCTATAAACCCAGTCTCATTTCTTTTGTTTAAATACTTAAAAGCAGAATGGCTACGTGACATGACTTTACATATTAAGATTTTTAAGAGAATGATAGAACTATTTTCCACAACAATTTTTCTCCATGAAGATATGGCAATCACATGGCTCACCTCATTTGTTTTCTCTTACAGGAAGAACACTGGCTTCTGTTGACTTATATCCAATTTCTTTAGTACCACAGTTTCATGTATTTTGTCTGTTATTCCATTTTGGCTAGCAGAGGAAGTTCCACCTTGTCCTTTTTAATAGTCTTATTCTTAGATAATGTTACTTATCAACGGGTTAACTCCTTGACCGTATTTTTATTCTTTTTATTTAAAAACCATAATCACCTTCAAAGTTTCTACTTGAGCATTTTATTATCTCTGTCTCTTAGAGAACATTAAAATTTTCTTCACCTGCTGCTTTTTACTCAGGAAGTGTGTTCCTCATGTATTCTGTGATATGTTGGTTCTCCTTAAACAAGGCTTTATCTGAGGAAATCCTGTGTAGCCTAGGTTGAATGTGTAAACCACCAGAGCAATTTCATAAGAGTTTCTGCCTGATGCCTTAAAGTTACTACAAGCCTGGGTCCACTTATAACGTGAATTGCTGGGCTGAGAATTCCTATAGTCAGCAATAGTGTAGTCTCATTGTAAACCTAGTATCAAGGAGGCCAAGGATTATGAATTCGCAAAGGAAAAATTCCTCCACTCAGAGCCTTGGCTGACAAATACAAGCTTCCTTGACATCTGTATCAGCAAGTGGAATTTTCCCCTGAAGCTGTCCCACTAATTTGCTCACATCTCTGTCTAGTCGTCCATCTTGCATAGGTCCAATACCTAAGCTTATGCATCATAGGGGCAATAAAGCCACTGGCTTCTCAGGCCTTCAGAGCTGTGAGAGTAGCTATTGCAGCTACTTTCATTCTCATTTTTGGCTCCTAGAATTTCCTTTCCTTTCATGTAAATTTAGATTGTTGGTGGTGAAGAAAGAAAATAAAGACAAGAAAAGATTACCAGTAGCTGGTGATGCCAAAAACTAAGATATTAAAGTCAAGATATTATACAAGGAGGAACAGAACCAGAATACAAACGGAAATTGCAAGAATGTCAGAATTGAGAATGCAAACGTGGTCCCAATTTGTGACAGTGAACATCCTCCTTTAACACATTCCTACATTTTTCTCAATTACTTACCTTCTGATTTCCAACTTACTGAAGTTTTCCAAATGGAATCTTACACTGCAATCATTGATACAGACTGGTGACTTTCAATCTATGTCGAAGCTGACCTGCCCTTATCCCTAAGCTCTTTTTGAGGCTTTGATGAAAGAGCTTAGATAAAAATATGAGGCTTCACAAAGTTGGAAACTGGGGCCAGGGATTTAGAGCTCAGTGGTTCCAGCACTTGCCTCGCAAGCACAAGGACTCGAGTTCAATCCTCAGTTATCAATCAATAAACAAACATATAAAATGAAGTTGGAATCTATCTTTTCTATATTTTCAGTATTCTAAATCCAAAAAACATTTTTTAAAAAATGACTCTAACTTGAAGAAATACTTATTGTGCCGAAAAAGGTTTTTTTTTTACTGTTTTAATTAGAATAAAATTATACTACTGAATAAAAATTATGTTTAGATTTTACATCAAAGATGTGATTATGTGCTCAAAAGAAATTAATTACCCACCTTTCTTTCTTTTAGGCTGTTCTGGTGATGAGGCTCCTGGTGAGTCTGCATATGCTTCTTGCACCAGGTGAGTTTCCAGCACTTCAGGAATCCCATCTAATGTGACGGATACATGGGTGACTGGGGCAACCACAATGTCATCTTCAGATGAACTAAATATATTACTACCTAATAGAAATAAAATCAATTAAATATAATCAACTGTGTATTGTGAACTAAAGCTTAATAAAATCATTTCCTATTCCTATGAAGATTAAAGTAGAAATAAAATCTTAAAATCTATTTTCTGATTTTTATTTCCCCTTCTGTAAATCCTGCTCGGTTTTACTCGACTATTTCAATATTGTTCCTGCTTGACTTCTTATCACCAGTCTCTCCTGTCTTTTCTTGCTGTGTTAAGAGTTGTTTCCTAAAACCTAAGAGTTTAATCTGACATTATTTCTCTATACAAAAGCTTTACATGCTGAAAATCAAAAGTAAAAATTATAGGAAAAATATCTTAAAATTTGCTGAAGAAAAAGGATAAGAACAACCCAAACTCCACAGTGTACCTTTCAAAATTTCCAAAATCTAATTCAAATCTACCTTTCCAATCTCATCTCCCACCTACTATGAAACTTGCAGTTTAGTTATATCAAAACATGTACCTTTTATAATTTTGTTTGTTTTTAAAGGTCTGTGCCTGAGGCTCTATCCATTAACTTCTACCTTTCACTGTTCTCTCCTCTCCCTTACGTATTAAAGGTTTCTCATTTATACCCGACGTTAAAATATTACATCAAGCAGGTATGGTGGCACACTCTGGTAATCCCAGCTACTCAGGAGGTTGAGTCAGGATGTCATGTTTGAGGGGACTCTCAGCAACTTAGTGAGACCCTGGTGCAGTGAAATGAAATGAAGGTCTAGGGATATAGCTCAGTGGTAGAGTTTCTGCTTGCCTGATTCAAACTAAAATAAAAGCTCAGTGGTAGAGTCTGTGCCTGCATACCATGTGTGAAACCTTGGGTTCAATCCCCAGTCCTATAAAACATCTCCGTACCCTAAACATTCCCTCAATGAATCAATCAATCCTGTCTCTGATGTTCTCTGCTTTAGTATTCACTGCTTCCAAAAAGCTCTGTTATCACTCTGCAGGCCTTTGTTTTTAGTTTTTACAATTACTTACAAAGAATTAAATTGTAATTAGAAACCTAGCAAGAATTTGTCTGAAAAATAAAAATTTTTCAAAAGTGCTGGGAATGCACTCAGCAAAGGCCCTGCCTGGGTTTAATCTTCAGTACTGTGGGTAAATAAACTGTAAGATTGGGGAAAGAAAGCTATTCATTTGTGTATATTATTGTCTACTGCACTGCTGCAATGACTACAGCAAATACTCATAAATATCTTGAATTGATTTAGTAATTGTATGAGTTTAAGTAATTTTTTGTCAGAAAAAGTACAAAGAAAAGCATAATTACATAATGAATCAATAGTGTGGCAATGAGTTTTATGCCATAAAGAGTTCCCAAAGTTTTCAATGATTTTGCCAATCCACTTGTGATTATCTATAGAGATTAGTAAATTATAATGATTTGGGCTCATCAAAGAGATTAAGAGAAGAAATTATGCTTGAAAAGGGCTAAAGGTGTAGGGAAAGTGGGAAGGGTAGGGGAAAGGTAATAAGGGAAAAGACAAAAACAGGAGAAAATAAAAAAATGGAAATAAAGTGTTTGTAAATGGGGAGGGGAGGAATGGGTGAAGGGAGGGCAGGGACAAGGGGAAAAAATGAGAACCAAGACCTGCCATGTAAAGGTACAAGATCCCAATGATGAATGTAAATGTACTGTATATCTCAAATGTAGCAATAAACTCAATGAGGTGAAAAAGAAAGAAATTATGCAAAATAGTTTCATCAAAGAGATGAAGAGAGAAAATTATGCATAGTCTACTATTTTATAACTAATAAATTACTTTTGTTTTTAAAGGCTTCATTCCCTCAAATTAAAGTTTTTTTTTTTTTTTTTTTTTTTGATACCAGGGATCAAAGTCTGGACCTTGAGCTTTCACGCCAGGTGGCAGAACCACTGAGCTAAATCCCCGGCCTAGTCTTAACTGAATACTTTAGCAAAGGTGTAGATAGCAAAGGTGTCTTAATAAGTACTGTACCTTAAGATGTGCTCAGAAAGTTTATTAAACATGATCTCTGATATCTAGATATTTAGCATTTAATAGAGAATGATAAGAATGACTTTACACAGTGCAGAAAAATAAACAATCAAATCACTCACTTATTCGTTTTTCATCCAGCACAGGACCAGGAGAATCCACATTAAGGAGTACCTCAGCAGCTTCAATAGTTTCAATTGTCTCATCCCCATTATGACAAAAAGCTTCAACTATAACACATTTAAAGAAAACACAATTAGTCACAAGACATTCATTGCTCTGAAATTCATATACCAATCTTCTCAACCAAGGTACATCACTTAGTGTAAGTTTATATACATAGAAACTATCAACACATACAACTTATATCAACATGTAATACTATATCTGATTAATTAACTGCCTGTTTTTTAATTTTTACAGAAACTCTGCAAGATGTTGGAGGTAAAAAGAGCATATATTCAGGAGGAAATTCACTAATCATTTCTCTGCCAATTCTTATATATTTTCCACGATTAAGGATGATTAAGGATAATTAAGTATCCTACAATGACAGGAATGTTAACCATATCACTGAAGCAGTATGTCACTAAGAAAGACATTTTGTTTCTCAGGACCTCATACTATATAAAATGACTACGCTGATAGCCTTAGATACTTTTCAGCTCTAAGATCAATGCTACTATTCTGACTGGAACACAAGTTAATCAACCGTTGAAGCTCATTTCATTAGTGAGTCACTATTTCCAAAAAGATTTAGACACAGTCACATTGTTCAAAGTCTAATCATCCTTTGTGGCATCATTTTTCTCTGGTGTATTTTGTGGAACATTCATTACTCTACCATGGAATGTGCCCAATCCATGGTATAAATTATACGATACTTTTAGATGGCTGAATGTGTAATATAAAATCATGACTCAAATTCCGGGTTGGACTGACAGTATGTAACTAAATACAGGCCTTGTAATTTTACACAAACCTAAAAAGTAAACATAAACACAACACCTGTAATGGAAGAAGAGTTTCCACACAAGTAGAATAAGGCCTATAAATTTTCAGAACTTGTTAACAGCACAACTTTTTTTTCCCCACATAAAAGATTTACATGGAACTCCCAAAATAAAACAGATAAAATGGGTAGTTTTTCTACTCTTTTTCCTTTCGTGTGTGTGTGTGTGTGTGTGTGTGTGTGTGTGTGTGTCTGTGTGTGTCTGTGGGGGGGCACTGGACACTGAACTCAAGACCTCTGCACTAAGCTACACCCCTAGCCCTGATTTTTTTATTTTGAGCCAGAGTCTGGCTAAATTGCCCAAGTCGGGCATGAATTTGTAATCCTCCTGCCTCAGAGTGCTGCTATTCCAGGTGTGTGCCACCTTGCTTCACTGTACATTTTGTTTTGCTATCAGGGATCAAAGTCAGGACTTTGTACTTGAGAGGTAGGTGGCAGAACCAATGAAAAAAATACCCAGCCCTTCACTGTACAGTTTTATAGGTTCAATTTGATATAATCAAACTTTATATAAGGTAAATCAACAATTAAAATGAGTTTTCTGAAGAATATAAAAATAGGGATTATGACAGCTGCTTTAACACAAGCTTCAAATTCAATATAGCCATTAAATCTTTTTTACTATTGGAAATACTTTTTTTTTTTTTTGACACTGGGGATCGAACTCGGGTCCTTGTGCTTGCAAGGCAGGTGCCAGAATCACTGAGCTAATCCCAGCCATGGAAATATCAAACAAAATCAAATTTATGAAAGTATAATGAAACCCCATGTGTCCATTCCCATCTTCAAACATTTTCAACAAATGGTCAGTCTGATGTTATCCATGCCCCACTCACTGCCCAAAGTCCTCACCCTTCACATAGGTTTATTTTGATGGAATCTATGACACTGTTACTGCCTTAGCTTAGCAGTTCTATCTTATCTATAAGATAAGGAGTCTAACACAAACTACCATCATATTTTAAAACATTTAAACAATAATAAATAATTCCTTAATGTCATCTGTTACGGGCTATATTATGTGCTCTCAAGACTCATAAAACGAAGTCCTAACTACCAGTACCTTAGAATGTGACTGTACTTGGAAATACTGCCTTAAAGTTAAAATGAGCTCTTTAGGGCATCTTTCTAAGAATTCATTTGCACATACCAAGTATACAGAAGGAAGACTACATGAAAACAAATGCAGAAGACTCTAATCTACAAGTTCAGGAAAGAGGTCTCAGAAGAAACCAAACCTGCCAACATCTTCACCTCAGACTTTCAGCTTCCAGAAATGTGAAAAAAATAAATGTCTCTGTTGGAGAAACTCACTTGATGGTACTTTGTTAAAGTATTTCTAGCAAACAAATAAACTATCTGAAGTAGCATTTAACACCATTAAGAATAAAACTGTCCTATCCCTATCTTTCTTATCCCAGAGCTGCTCAAAGACACACTATAACCCATTGTGGAAATAAGAGAATTAAGACATCTTAACAAGCCAGCAATTTCAATCTAGACATAATATTCAACTCTAATAATCCAAATATCTTTCACTAATATGCCCTTGCTCTTGTTAAGTTTTAGTATCTGGTAGCATAAATTACTGATATGAGAAATCTTTACAGAATACATATTAGTAAGCATTGTGCTAGATGCTAAGGTAAAGGTGAAAATAAGGCAGCTACAATACTTGCCACCAAAAATACTATACATAGGCTGGGCGTGGTGGCGCACGCCTGTAATCCCAGCACTCGGGAGGCCAAGGCAGGAGGATGGCTGTGAGTTGGAGACCAGCCTGGGCTACATAGCGAGTTCCAGGTCAGTCTCAATTACATGATGAGACCCTGCCTCAAAAAACCAAAAAAAAAAAACCAAACTACAGATGCACTTCATTATAGCTATTTGTGATAAGTTTTCTTTTAAGAATATGCAAATTACCGCTACCAAATAACTAAATTTCCCAATTATCTATGGCCGACATATATGAATATAAACATACAAAACTATAAAACATGTGCCAACTTTTAAAACTGATGAAAATTTCACCCTCATTATCTATTATATAGTCAGTTCTTCAAGTTGGAGATATCTGACTCGTTCTGATGGAAATCTTCAAGACCTTATCATATACTCAGATCATGGTCTACTATTTTGGTCCTGAAACGGTTAATAAGAACATTCCTATCTCTTCTCCTACAAACAACACTTTGTTCTCGGGAATACAGTGCTAAACACATAAAAAAGTACTCTGTGAAGTGAATAGGTTTGACTTCTCTGATATACCTCCTCTTCTGTTGTGCCCATTTCAATACATTCAAGAAAAAAGAAACAAGGTGAGAAACCAGTATGAAATAGGACAGTTGAAACAGGATGACAGAAAACAGTTTTCTTCTTCCTGCAGGACTCTAGATTCAGCAGGTAATAAATTTACTCAAAACCAAGTTACAAATTTTTTATGTTTCAAAATCTCCAGGACTGGGACACGGTTTAAAACTGTGCTGTACGAAGGTCCTGTGAGAGGGAGACACACCTGTAAGAGTGATGTCATCATCGTCGTCATCTATGATTTCTTCTCCATGTCTTGCACCAAGGGGACTTCTCCAAAGAACTGCTGGGCAGGTGGGCTGCCCTTCCCAAGAATAGTTTGAGTCTAGGAAGGTAGTGTCAAGGAGTCTTTCATCCAATATTCCTTTCTTAAATTCTGCCTCATCCCCCAAAAGGGTAAGGGTAGAATTTCCCCTGTGGTAGGTCACCAGATAAATATTGGAGACCTAGTTAAATCCGAATTTTTGGTAAACAAAGTTTGTTTCATGCAATAAACTTATACTAAAAAATTTAGTTATTTATTTGAAATTCAAGTTTAATTGGGCACTGTATATTTTAACTTGCCCAATCTGTTAACTCTACCCAGTAGCTTTATTTTGCTACCTCAAAGTAACAAGACCTTCACTCCATCAGATTAGCCACCACTTAGGGAAAATTAAAAAGAATTTATCAAATCAACAGCAAACTATCACCTCTCTTACAGCCAAGGTTGGTGAGGACAAAGAGGGATCAGAATGGGGTAGCTTTCGATGGGCCACAAGGTCAACCTCAGTTGGTAGCAGAGGTCTGTTTATAAAGTAGAACAGGTCATTATGACACCAACCTCTTCTGGGTGTCTGGAGCAATGAGATCTTTTGTTTTAACTCAGTATTCTAAGACCAACATGAGCCCCAACTTGATAATAAGATGTATCAGCACGACTGACCCCCTCAGTGTGGCTTTTAATGATGCGAATATTAGAATTCCTAAAGACGTGATTTACTTTCTTATTCAACTCATTAAGCACTTGTTTCTTAACAGTACAAAACTGGAAATTTTCAGTAGCAACCAAGTCCTTTTTCTTCTGTCCACATGAAAACAGTCACAAGTGGAAGAGGAGGTCAGAAACTGCAAGCCTCTCATGGGACGCAGTGGCCCTGTAATTTTAACATGAAAGTCACTAGATTTACCTGCACTAAAGAGCTGTTTATTAAAGTTCTGTGTTTTTATTTTACTTTTTCAAATATGATGGATAGAGTTACACATGGGAGACCCCTGTGTGTGTAGCTGGCTACAAAGAGAGGCCTCTGAGCTGTAGAGATGGCTGGAAGGATAAAGAGGAAATGAGGGGAGATGAGACTGAGAAAATGAACTGTCCTAGGCAGGGTTACAAGATGGGGTGGCATGGGGTGGGTTGGCACTGGCAACCTTCTTGATGTTTTAAAAGTTTAAAGCTGGCCTGAAATCTGAACGTGAGGGTCACTGATGCTAGAACTTACTACCCTCATTAGCCAGAGGCAAAGGACAACACATGCTCGGAAGTCACTGTCCAATAATAATTATTTTTTATATCATCACCTAAGCTACTGTGATATTTTAAATTCTTATGTTTTTATATGTGTCATTTGTTTTTCTCTTAAATTTTGAAGCAATCATAGACTTATGGGAAAGTGGGAAGTACAGAAGGTAACTTTTCTGAGCTACTTTTGAAAGTAGCTTATTCCCAAGATGCCCCCTACACATACACACACACACACACACACACACACACGAGCATCATCACCCACTCCCCAGACCCCATTCAGGTTTCACCAGTGATGCCAATAACAGCTTTCCTAGAAAACAACCTAGCTCAGAATTATGCCTTGTATCTGGTTGTCCTGTCACTTTAGTCTCTTTCAGCCTGGAACAGTCCTCAGTTTTTCCTTAATGTTCATGGCCTTGACCTTGTTATTTGAAAAATGGCCTTAAGTTTGGGAGATTTCCTCATGATTAGATGGAGGTTGAGTATCCTTGTAAGAGAGTCACAAAACTGAAGCTGGGTTCTGCTTTTTGCACACTATTAGCCTGCTTCTAATTTCAAGTTGTCCTATTGTTGAGATGTTCACTTTGTCACTTTAGAAGGTGTCTGCTATCCATGCTTGGTGGTGCATGCCTGTAGTCCCAGCAATGTGGGAGTCTGAGGCAGGCAGATCACAGTGACTTAGTGACATAGTAAGACCCTGCCTCAACTTGACAATATAGTGACTTTCTAAAGTAAGACCCTGTCTTAAAATAAGGAGTGAAAAAGGACTAGGAACATTGCTCAGTGTGAAGGCCATGAGTTTAATCCCTACTAATGGAGTGGGATGTATCAGTCAGCTATTCATTGCTGTGACAAAATACCTGAGAAATCAATTTAAAGGAGGAAAGATTTACTGATTTACTTAGGTTCACATTAGAGGTTTCAATCTATGGTTGGCTGGCATCTTTCTTTTTGGCCCTGTGGTGGCACAGAGCAAGGCAGAACAAAGTTGTTCCTCTCATAACAGCTGAAAGTAGAGAAGCACAGAGAGAGGGAGCCAGAGGAAGAGACCACGGACAAAATACAGCCCAGGGCTCCCAGTGGCCTGATTTCTCCATCAAGGCCCACTTCGTGTTTCCATCACCTCCCAATAACCCCATTAAATTATGACAGCATGAATGGGTTAGGCCACTCTGTGAAGTTAGAACCCTCATGGTCCCATCACTTCCCCAAAGCCCTTCTTCCTCTGGCAGCCAAACCTTCAACAACACAGTGAGCCTTTGGGAGGAAATTCGGGAACCCTATCTTATCCTGGGGAACTAGGTTTAACATATATTTGCTAACAAAGAGCTATTTAGACACGTGGAATCAATCCCATACCTGAAGAGCTGGAGGAGCCTCATCAAGCCTTCATTTTCACAGAACAAGAAGCACAGATCCTAGAGACTCAGTGACTTACTGCCCTCTTCTCTCTTCAAGATGAATCACACTGTGAGCGCGGGACTGGTGGTTGGCATCTTCACTGGGTTTCAGAAGAAAGCCTGCACTGCCACACAAAATCTTCCCGCCCTCATCGCACTGCTCATGCTGTATGGGTACATTGTTCGGGCCGCTAGCTGAGGCCACCAAAGGGAGGCCAAGGAAGGGAGTATTATCTTCTGGTGAGAAATCTGCTCCAGGCAGGTGCTGTGTCTGCTAGCCAGGAATCTGTCTGGCTTCCGTTTCTGACTACCAATAAAGGTATTTCTGAGCCCAGAAAAGATGACAGGAGCTCTCCCTGGCCTGACTTTTCTTCCACTTTAATTATGGCCTTGATTAAAGACTAAAAATTGGTCACTCCCTAGTTCTTCCTGCACTCTGATCCTGACTCATCTGTGGCCAATCTGACTTTCGATGTCTCCATCTGCACTGCCAGGAGTTATGTGCACATAGTAGAAAACTCCAGTTGGAAAGCTTCTCCTGGACAGAGATTAAGTCCAGTAGAGTTGACCAGGAAAATATGCAACTCTGTATCCCAGGCCTACTACTTGCTGCAGAAATAAATACAGACAAGTAATTCACTTGTCTGGGCCTCAGTTTCCCCATCTGTAAAGTGGAAATAATACAACCTGGCCCTTGCCTTGAGAGGTATAGTCTTACTAGAACAATGATGTTCAATCATCTCTCTGGGAAATAGAGAATTTGGAAGCAACATGAACTATTCAGCAAAGTGTGAAAATACCTTCTTGGAACTTTTAGCTCTGTTTTACTAATCCAGCCTAGAGCAGGAAGCATTGCAAGGTAGAGAGCCCCCCACCCCACCCCATGGACTGTATAAAGCTTTATAATCACAAAGCACACACGAAGCTACCGACACATTTGCTCCTGAAAAGACCTGTAAGGTAGTCAGGGTAGGCATTGTTTTATGTTTAAAGACAAGGCACAGAAAAGAAGGGATGGAGTGTCTCTTTTCCCCTTGAGACTCTGGCCAGTTCAAAGGTGTCATGTCATACGTGACGAAAGTGCAGTATATTTAGAGGTTAGGCTGCTGGGATGGAGATTGGAACTGTCCCACAGAACCGTGTCCTCTCACACAGATGGGCAGTCATTCCCATGATGTACCCAGCATCCTTCCTGTGTGACGTCCCCAGCACAGCTTACGTGGCTTTGTCTTCTGCTAATCTGTTCATCGGAATCAACAGCAGCGCCATCACTTTCATCTTGGAATTATTTGAGAATAACCAGGTAAGCGTTATTTTCTTTTTTCTTGGTTTCATGTTTGATTAATGTAGGACAGTAACAGCAAGTATTGGTCAAGCAGAGCCACAGAAGCACTGTACTATAAATGTGAACCCTCAGTGTGCACATGAGTACTAACCACTCCCTCCCTCCCTTTTTTTTCTTTCTCTCTTAATAAAATAATTTTCTAAGCCTAATCCTTAATCTAGATAATACTTCCCATCATCCTAACTTTTTAGGTTTTTTTACTCTTTCAAGAAAGTTTCCTTGTGAACTTGGGTGTTAGATTTTTCTCCTCCCTCTCCCTTCTCCTCTCTCTACTTTCTTCTCTCTCCAATAACACATTCAAGTGATTTCAAAATGGAAAAGAAACAAAAAGTGTGCAGTGAAAAATCTCCTTCCTATCCCTGTTTCTGATTCACCCAGTTTCCCTCTCCAAAGAGACAACCTCAACAGTTTCTAGTGTTTTCTGGAGACTTGTAAGCAAATACATAGATATTCTTTCTCCTGTATTCTTACTCAAATTATAACATACTGTAGCGTACTCATATACTGTTCTGTACCCAAGTTAATCCTGAGGACAGGTTTAGAAATCATGGAGCTGAATGACTCAATTTCATAAGCTATAAAGTCCAGTTGTCTTTTGTGCACACCTTCTAACCACTCCCTGTCCACAGAGATGCCATACTGAGTCCTAAAAAAATGGAAGAGTCTGGAGAGCTGCCTTTACTCCGTAACCCACTCCCCCAGCAGCTGTGTCTGAGTCCTGCCTTGCTGCCCTCAGAACATTTGAGCTCACTCATGTGCCTGTGTCCCCAAGGGCCTTGCTGGTCTCTTCTTTCCTCACTAGTTCTTCATAGTTCATAGGAGGGCAAACCTGTGCAGAAGTCCAAAGACAACCACCTAATCCCCTGGCCTCCTGAGAGGCTGCTAACTAAGAAAGGAAACCCACCTGCCCCATGAATTACAGAAATGTGACACATCAGGTATGGTGGTGCAGGCCTGTAATCCCTGCACTCTGGAAGCCTGAGTCAAGAGAACTGCAAGT